CCCACCTACCCACCCAGGGTGGAAGTAGGGGAGTCCCCGGAAAACAGAGACCCAGGCCGCCTCTGTTACAGAGACATTTACCAGAACTATCAAGCACTCCCCCAGAACCACTGGATTCCTGAGTTTTAGGAAAATCAGAGGCGGCTATTTTTACTCTCAAGCAGCTCTGAAGGCCTGGGGCTCGCTAATCAAGCAACCTAGCAGGGGCCCGAGCGCAGGCGGGCAGGGTCCTGCTTTCCGTTTTTATTCCCCTCCTTTCCTCGCAGCTCCCACCCACTCCCCGAGTTAACTTCAGAATCCACAGGCTTCTCTTTCTCTTGCTCATCTCCTCCAGCTGCTGCAGTCGGAGGCAGGAATCATCCAGGCTGTTCTTACAAGCAGCTAATGTCTTGCATAACCACCCTTCAGAAAGAGACGGGAAAGCCACGTGTTCTAAGAAAAAAAGGAGGAATTCTGAGAAGAAAAAGCCAAAGTGGTTGGACCCACAGACAAACTACTTCCAAGAAATCAGGCAGAGGATGGGTTGAGATTTGCTCTCTTCCCCTTAGTTGTAAATGAGGTTTTGGTAAAAGTCTTTATCCCAAGCAAATGACAACCCTGAAGGGTAGGGAGGCTGCCTTGACCCTTCAGGGTCATTGTTTCGCACTTCACCATGACCCTGGATGTCACGTGACATCCCTCTATGACAATTACACGCAGAGCATCCTTCCTGGCTGAGGGAGAGAAATCAGGAAGGAAAGAAAAGCTAAATGACATACTCTCTGAAACATAAAACCAGGTCTGCCCTTCATCTCAGAGGAAAGAGCTTTTGCTGATGACTGACTAGGAAAGACCATGATCTGATTTAACCTCATGCCATTCTTCTTTGGGGCTAATAAGTCTTTGTTTGGGAGTAGTCTTTTATATGGGAATTAGTGAACCCATGTTAGCTGCAAGCAGGTAATCATAAGGAAGGCAGAACCAATGAATGCAGACTGGCAAAAAGGTTCTTCCAGAGTCGCCTGCAAGTTAAAAGTCTGACAGCACTGTAAAATAAAGCCATCCTAACAGAACACTAGGAACCTACATTGTAGGTAAAAAATAAAAAAATAAAAAAAAATAATCGATTAATTTTATGGCTCACCTATAACCCAGCTAGAAGTTTGATAAATGGTTGGAGCTAAGAACTATGGAACTGGGCCCAATGCTTTATTATTCAATGAGAAGAGTGACACCTAAGCAGGCCCAGTGACTGATCCAAAGTCACCTGGCTAATGAGTAAAACGTGACAGGCAAGTGCACGTCTGTTGACCCCAGCACACCAGGCTGCTATCTGCAGTGCAGCCATGAAAGACGTGGACTAAACAGACATGTTCACGAACAGGCATCCCAGGTGGACAGTTTCCATGCGCAGGAATCAGGCCGAGGGGGGCCAGGGCCTACACGCAAAAACAAGGGTGCTCTCCTCCATCTCGTGGGGTCCACTTTGGGTGCTCTCCCTTATCTGGATTCCAAGAGGCAGAAAATTGTGTTGGGGAGAAATAGTGCTGTAAGCATTAAGACTATGGCACCTCCTAGGCCTTTAAATGAGGACAAGCTTTTAATTTTTCCAATGTCTTAAAAGAAGGGTATCCTGCCGAAACCGGTTTGGCTCAGTGGATAGAGCGTCGGCCTTCGGACTGAAGGGTCCCAGGTTCGATTCCGGTCAGGGGCATGTGCCTTGGTTGCGGGCACATCCCCGGTAGGGGGTGTGCAAGAGGCAGCTGATCAATGATTTTCTCTCATCGATGTTTCTAACTCTCTCTCTTCCTCTCAGTAAAAAAAAAAAAAAAAAAAAAAAAAAAAAAAAAAAAAAAAAAAAAAAAAAAGATGGGTAGCCTGACTGGCCTGGGGGGGGGGGGGGACCACACCCTTTTGAGATTCTCTAGGTCATTGGTCGGCAAACTCATTAGTCAAAAGAGCAGCAAACCGTGGCTCTCGAGCAGCAGTTTGCCGACCACTGTTCTAGGTGAAGCCTGAGGAGGAACAGAGAGCATCAGGAATCAACTCTGAAAGCGAGGAGAAAGGCTTGGAGATGCCCGTCTGTTGTAGAAAGAACTTCACTCGATGTGGCTTTAGTTTATGTAGTGGACAGCTGTTTTATCACTTAAAAATTCTCTATGTGAAAGTGTCAGATCAGATGGAAGAAATAATTGGATTCTATTCTCTCCTCCCAACCCACCCAATATAAACTTCCAAGACTCTAGGGAATACTGGCCATTCATTTGCCTTAAGATTGCTTGCATCTCCTTCAAGTCTGAACAATGAATTTCTACATGTTCAATATCTAATCCCAAACTGACGAGTATATATGTTTGAAACTTAAATCCATCCGAATATTTACTCTAGGTTTCACTTAGTATTTTTACGCAGTTATAAAGCAAAAAGGCCAAATAATTTTCAAGTATGTGTCTTTTATTTTTCTCTGACATTTCACAGTCAATTTCTACAAAACTTCATACTTCTTTCTTCAAAAGAATTCACATTTGGTAAAGAAATCTCTACCCTAAAGAACTCATAACTGGAAAAACACTTTGATATATGCTTGCGTTACCTTCTGCTGAAGGAATCAATAAAGTCAGACAATACTATAATCAATAAATGGTAATGAGAGCAATAAATTACAATGTCATTAAACTTCATTCCTATAATCAATTCAATTAGCAGCTTTTTCTAGATTTTTTTTTTTTTTTTTAATATTGCCAACAAAATCTGCCAGAAGGACTGATTTGAGCTAAGAATGGCTTCACACATTCAGAAAACAGTAGCTCTGCCATGGGACATCATACCAGATCAAATCATGCATTGCTAAGACCACTGCTTTTTACAACCTTGTGCAATCAAGGTCTTTCTGGTCAACTCCAAGGTTCCTCCATTTGCTGATCTGGCTCCTGGCCCCAATGTCTGCTAGCTTCAATGGGCTCTCCTTCCAAGACTCAGCTTCTCTTCGCCTACCCCAAGCTCCACTAGACAACAGGCACCCATGCTAAGTAAGAGCTTAGAGACTTCCAGCACTAAGTCATAAGGCCAGACAAGAGCTGTGAGGATCAACGATGGCTTTCATCATCTTTTACTGTGACAGAAGGGAAATGCAAACCTTAATCTGGGAAGAAAATTCCAAGAGGCTTAGAGCTCCAGGTTTTTCAGATGGAATAAATTTGGTTCTCAGCAATTGTGTTCAGATTTTGACACTCAGTAAGACTCATGGCTAGCGCCAGGCTATTCCGAATGCACCTGTCTCTGTAGCTCTGCTGCCAAATGCATTCTGCCAAAAAGGAAGCTTCCTGGCACGGTGCCCAGAGCAGAACTGCTGTGGTACCGCAGACTTGGGGAGACAGAGCGGGGAGGCCCAGACAAAATACTCAAAGGAGCTGGGTCTGCTTAAAGACACACTGGCTCTGATCTCTGACACTCTTTCAGAAAGCAAATGGCAGGTAATAATTGAGTTAATCAGGAGTCTAGAGATTTTAGCAAGTTATTTCTACTATTAAATTGGCCTTCCCTAACTCACGCACGTTCAAGAATAAAGTGGAGGTGATCCAAAGCCTTGTAATTTTTTAAACTACGTTAGTTACCACTACCTAGCAGATATTAGCTTCTTTCTGACCTTGGCAAAACTTCAAGAACATTTTCCTGTGTAAAAGCTGGTCATCTAGAAGTTATTAGGTTTTCAAGAGGATAAAATTTTTAAATGAGAGGAGAAAAAGTCTGAAGCTTCACTGTTAGAATCCAGTTTACCTTGCTGATGAAGCTGAAAGCATGTGTGTCTGCAAATTCTCATCACAGCCTCCATTCTCAGGTGAGCCTCACATACACACTACACCTCTGGGCTTGCTGCCAAAGCCAGCACGTGGCAGAGACAAAGAAGACGCTGCTCCCGCTTGCTCCAGGTCACTGTGCATCACACGAAAGTGTTGGAGGCGAAACTGCTAAGAATGTTTTCCAACTTTGTGGGCTTATATTTCATAACCTTGGGATGATTTTAATCCCTAGCCTATCGAGCTTAATAACCACATCTTTCCTCTTTTAAGAAGAAAAAGTGGCAGTAGAGGGTTAATTTACACCATCACTCACACTCAGGCACCATGACGCTATCTTTAAGATTTTCACACATAAAACAGGTTGCATTGTTTCAAAAATAGAAAGAAAAAAAGCACAAATTACTGGAATCTTCCAGCTCCTAACCAAGAGATACTGACCATGTGTTTCTTCAGACGCTAACTCAGAAAAGCAATTCATCGACTGTAACTCCAGATGGTACTGCATCCGTTCCATACTTTAAAAAGCTGAAGTTATTTTGCCTACCAGTTTCAGTGAAGAGAAACCTGGTTTGTGATGGAAGTGTCAGAGTTAAATGGTACCACCCTTTTCCCTTGACTTTCAAGTTTAAGAAAACAAAGCGTTAAGTCATTAAGTGTTTGCACCCTAGGCCCAGCCTGTGCCCAAAGCATTTTAGGTTTTGGCCAAATGGCATGATGCCTTAAGGAATGCAACCACACCTCCTCTTACTTTTCTCTAAGATATTCAAGGGAAGATCTGTGAAGGGATCCTTGTCACCTACTTCCTGGCTTGACAGGTATCATTCAGTGCACTCATCCATGTCACTGCATCTCTGATCACAGTGAGTGGGACAGTGGGAGGCGAACAGGGTTAGTGCCTGGGACGGTGGGAGGTGACAGCTAGAGCTTCACACACCCCTCTCTTCTGCTTTGCCTTGTGACCCATCTAAGCACCTGTAGGCTAAGGAAAAGGGACTCAAGGACACCCCGAATCAGAGGTCCTCAGTGGAACAGAGACATATGTAAACTGTGCACAAACCACAGGTTAAGACAGCAACCAGGGGTTGGCATGAGGCTTCATAAGTGAACTGCTGAACAGTTTAAGAGTAGAAGGAAAAGACCTTGCATAAGCTTTGAGGAGTAAGATAACAGCAAGGGAGTTAAAAAGAACCACTCAAGTAACAGGAAAGTCTTCCTTCTGTGCTATATGTCTGGGTGATCAGAGAATGCTTCTAGGTCACCGCCAGCATGACCAGCCCCCAGGGTTAGCGATGCCTGCAGCCTGGCCCAAGCCTGAGGAGCCCTGCTCTTGGCGGCCTCTATAAACAGCTGGGTCTGCTCCTTGAGCTGGTCTAGCTCCACCTGCGTTGCCTGGTTCTGACGAATCAGCTCCTTGGTTTTCAAAGTGATCTCCAGCAAGCCGGACTTGTGCAGGACCACCAGGGTGTTCTGAAAGCGCCTGTGTTTGCTGGGCAGCTGCTCCGAGAAGAGATCTGGGCTGCGGCAGAGGTGCTCTGCGGCCCACAGAGGTGAGCTATAATTAGCTGACAGTGGTGACAGGGGGGAGTTGCTCTCTACCCCGTGCAGAGTGCTGTCTGAGGCGCAGACAGGACTGGCGGGGGAAGCAAAGGTCAGGCTGGGAGCTTTAGCCACGTGGCTGCTGGACACCGGCTGAAGAGTCTGTGGGCTTCCGCCTGCCACGAGGGAGGGCACACCCTGCAGAGCCGAGTCCTCTGCCAGCTTGGCGCTGAGGGGTGCTGTAGTCGGGGGACTGGATGACACAGCACCCGCCTTGGTGGGCTCGCTGGTGGGCAGACTCAGCCCAGGTCTCTCAGTACAGATTTTCTTCTGCGTTCCACGTTCTCTCTCTTTTGGGCTGAGGGAGAGGCCCCTTTTGCCTGGGTGTGGGGCTATTTTGGTGTAAGAATTCAGAATGGGCAAGTAGTTCCTGGAGTCGGACCTTTTCTCGCCAGTGTGACAGGGGCTGACAGGCGAGGGCACAGGCGGGTGAAGGAACAGGAGTTGTGGCTGTGCCGAGATCACTTCCAAGGAGGGCTGGACGGTCCATGACTGGAGTTGGGATGAGCTGCTGCCCTGAAAGCAGATGAAAACAGCACAGTTCTTGTTACCTGCTTCTGCTAAGGGGCAAAGCAGAGACTTATAGCAATCTCATGTACAGAGCTTCTCTCACATCAGGCAGCCCTTTCTGAACAGAGTGATCAGAAAGCAATTGGACTTAAAAATCAATTGGGCCTGTCATTATAATTTCTTTCTTTCTTTTTTTTTTTTTAATCCTCACCTGAGGATATTTTTCCATTGATTTTAGAGGGAGTGAAAGAGAGAGGGAAAGACAGAGAGAAATATAAATGTGAGAGAAACACATCGATTGGTTGCCTCCTGCATACATCCTGACCAGGGCCCGGGCTGGGGAAGAGCCTGTAACCAAGATACATGTCCTTAACCCGAATCAAACCTGGGACCCTTCGGTCCACAGGCTGATGCTCTATCCACTGAATCAAACTGGCCTAAGGGCAAGTTTACATGTAAACAAGTTTGCTTCTCAATTCCCAGGGCAGAAAAAAAACAAGGTTTAAAATTATGAGATTTTAAAATTTATTCTTAGAGGTGTGAAAGTTTATTAATTAAAAAAACAAAAAAATAAAACAAAAAAAACAAAAAAAAGGAGATTGAAAAACCTAATGAACAATATTAGCTGTTGATTGTAGTAGAGTCGGTGATATGGGAGGGCAGTGGACTGACTGTTCTCCTGGAAAGTGGGAGTGGTGGATGTGGGAAGAGACTGAACATAAACTGTGCACCTATGGATGAGGACAATGGGGGTGGGGAGGGGGCGGAGGGTGGGGTAGGAACCTGGTGGAGGGGGGAAGAAATGAGGAACCTTTGTAATAATATGAACAATAAAGATTGATTTAAAAAAAAAAAAAAAAAAAGAAGGGCATGGCTATCTTTTTCCAATATTTAAAAGCCAGTCCAGTTCCAACTGGTCCCAAAGATATGAGTTGGTGGGCTGTCACTGCTGGAGAGCGCTGTTTCCCTCCCGTGCCCACCATTTTGCACACGTTTGAGCTTCCTCGATGTGTGGCTAGAACTTCAGGCCAGCGACAGCTCATCTCCTGACAAAAGTTGGGATCACCTGGAGAGTCCATTCTGAAGCCCTCTTGGTATTCAGATATACGCTGGATGTACGTAAGCAAGCAATGCTAGGCCTAGCACCCCTATTCCTTGTCAGAGCAGATCCAAAAGCAAGGTCTTTCGAAGCAGAAATCAGCCTAGTCCAGCTCAGTCAGAAGCAAAACATCAGGCTATTCCCCTATTCACTAAGGGTCGATCTACTAGGAGGCAAATGGACACAGAAAATTTATAATTCACCACTTTCCTAAGCTGATTTCACTGGATTCTTCCTAATGCTGCTATGCCCAATGCTGTAATAGATGCTTAGCTTACTGGTTCTAATTATTAGATTTTCAATACATTATTTACGTTGAAATCATCTGAGGGAATATGGGATAAGATTTTAGACTTGGCTACAATCTCAAGGTCATTTTCCACGAAGCCTTCACATTGAAGATGAGGAAACTGAAGCCCAGGTGTTATGTAACTGTGTGCAAGATCACACAGTCAAGTGGCAAAACTGAATCAGACCTCCAAAACCAAGACATTAGCCCAATGTGTGGCTAATGTAGTTGAGCATCAATCCATGATCCAGAAGGTCATGGTTTGATTCCCATTCAGGGTACCTGCCTGGGCTGTGGGCTCAATCCCCAGTGGGGGATGTGCAGGAAGCAGCTGATCAATGATTCTCTCTCATTATTGATGTTTCTATCCCTCTCTCCCTCTCCTTCCCTCTCTCTGAAATAAAAAATATCTATCTATCTATATATATATATAAAAGCCTAAGCAACTAGCTGACCAGCTGGTAACTATGACACGCACTGACCACCAGGGGGCAGATGCTCAACACAGGAGTGGAAACCATAGGCATGGAAACATGGAACAGACTGATGAATCTCAGAGGGAAGGGGGGAGGAGGGAGGGCTAGAAGAGATTAACCAAATATCTTACATGCATACTAGGGGCCCAGTGCACAGATTCATGCACAGGTAGGGTCCCTCAGCCTGGCCTGTGGGGGTTGGGCCAAAACCAGCTCTCCAGCATCCCCTGAGAAGTTCCAGGTTGCAAGAAGACACAGGTCAGGCTGAGGGACCCCACCAGGACACGAATCCGTGCACTGGCCCTCTAATACAGTGGTCGCCAACCTTTCAGACCTCAGAGACCACTGGTTGGTGACGACTAGTATAAAAATAAAATAAAATAAAACCAAGACATTACACAAAATACACATATTTTTAAAAGCATATCACTGTTTTAATCTTGGAATGTGCTGGATTCTAACGTGTGAAAAAAAACAAGATGAAACTCCTAGACGATTCCATCAGGTCCACCCGCCCCAAGCCTCCCATCTGCTGATGGAACCAGCAGCCTCCCTGCAGGCCTTTGTCCTGGAGAATGCGGCTCTGCTGGAAAAGACTACCCACTCCTCAACTGTGGGCTGTTCTCCGCCCTGGGGAGCTGCCAGCCTGCCTACGACAAAGAAGGCATATAAACACAGACACACAGGAAGGCCTGACAAACAAGGGAGCCAGAGAGGAAGGCGGGGAGAGAAAGAGCCGGGAGAAAGGAAACCCTGAGAAGAATCACAAACTGATGGGATCTGGACAAGCTCATCTGGGTTCCATTACATGTCTTTATCCTCTCTTCGTTTCAATAAGCAGAGCTGTTTTTCCTGCTGAGGTGATTTGTCAAGCAAAAATGTTCAAATTCTTTGTCCAAACTTACCAGGTTGCCTTGTTGAAAATCTGTTTGTGTTCCTCAGAAATAACTAGGTAATAGTTAAGACATCAGGTTTCCCGGCAGGCTACAGCCACGTATGTTCTTCTACCTGAGCTGGAAGGTCAGCAGCATAAAGCCAGTTTCAAATGTCCTAGCTTCCAGCAGCCTCATCAATGGCCCCATGAGAGAGCTGATATATTTTAGAGCAAAGCAGGATAAGGTTAAGTGTTCTTAAACCCAGTTCATTTGATTAAGTTCTCTGTTCCAAACATGGGGGCTTACATGTTCATCTAAATCTTTTCTTGCATATCTGGACAATAATCACATAGTTATGTAATCAAGCCCCCAACGGGGTGTTTTTGAGCTCCACAGCAATGCCGTGCAGACTCTGCTGGGGCAGCCATACCTTTAACCAAAGAGCTTTTTTTCCACTAACAGCATGTCCTTGGCTGATGACTAAGAAAAGACTCCGAATGTGACAGGAGAAACATAGAAAATTGCCTCCACTTCTCAAACAAATAAATGCATCCTACATTTCTAAATTCCCAGGGTATTTCAAGTTAAAAAGAGATTCTTTTGTTTATATCCCGAATTCTGTCATCTGTTAACTGCACTATGGAAGTTATGACATTTCTGCTTGGTTCTTTTATACATGACTAAAGAATTCCGGTGTTCCTCTGGATAAACTAGGGATCCAGAAATAAAATAGTCTTGCTGTCCTGGAGTCCTTTTTAAAACACTGTCAGTAGTTGAAAGGAAACATCCTTTCCCCAGGACAGAATACTCGGCGGCGTGGTTCTAGTGCTCTGCTCCTAAATCAATCCCGGGCGGAGGGGAGCCTCGTGCACAGGAAACCCAGGCACTTGAACTTGCACCCCCTCACCTGTTTGACCAGCACGTTCTTCATGACAACCATGGGGGACAGAGCAGGGAAGGCACTGCTCGCAGCCTTGGAGTTCAGTCTTGGCCGGTCTTCCCGGCTCCAGCCTAAGGCGCTCAGCATGTCCTCCGACTCCATTTGCTCCGCTGAGCTCAGACATTCCGAACTCCCATCTGGTGGCAGGAAAACGGACAGTTCACCCAGGCTCTCGGCTGGAGGCTGGTAACCAGGCCTCCTGGGGAGAGGCGGGACACCTTGAAACTAAATGGAACATTTGTGAGATGGGTTTTTGTAAATTTTTTTGAGGAGAGGGTCTTTAACTTTCATTGGACTCTCAAAGGCTTCCATAATTATCACCTCTGCCCCCAAAGATTGGGAATGACTGCCCGAGGACTCCTTTCTAATTCTTACAGACAAAAGCCTGCATCAGTTCAGGTTCCTGTGAAAGTAATCATCAACAGTCTACAGAACTGGGGGGAAGGCTTCAAAGTTAGTTCATTTCATTACTTTCACATTGATATTTCTCCCCCCCACCCCTTTCCTTCCTCTCGAAAATAAATAAAAATACTGTTAAAATTTTGTTAAAAAAAATAATAAATACAAAACCTCAAAACTTATATCCATGCTGAAATTAAAAGAATTTCTTCCTAAGTTTTCTAACTGTAAATTCTGGATAAGTTAATCAAAGCTGAGGTTTAAAATGTGTGTCATTGTTGTTCCCTCTACCCAGTCAGACATCTCCTTTGTTGCTGTGTCTACTGAGACCCTCCATATTGGGTGATAGCTACTCTCCAAGGCAAAGAAAACAAGAACACCCTCCATGAAATCCATCAGAAAGGACTTATTTAGCTATCCACTGGAGCATACCCAGCGACTGCTGTAATCCTGCTCGGAGGGGTCTGCAGATACCCTAAATGCTCATCAAGAATCACAGAGTCAACTAGATGAGGCAGGCCAGAATGTAACTTTAATTTAAATGAGTATAACTGTCAACACTTGCAGTTAAGTCAGAATCTACAGTGATGCCTTTTAGAAATTACAGATGTGAGAGTCTTTCCCTCCGCCTTCTGAATTGATTGATCTGGTACCCAGGCAGAAATATTTCCACAGAATACCAAGGGCAACCTCTAGTCAAGAACCAGTAGGCCAGAAACAAAGGCCTCAGGAGCTGAGTACATACCTGGTACCTGGGTCTTGGTTTCTAAATGCCATTCCGCAAGAACAGGAAACCTGGGCTCCTTATATTCCAATCTTAGGCAGGGAAGGTACAAAATGAGCCTGGACATCTTATTGTCCCAGAAAGCAAGGAAGTACGCAAACACAAATGGAAGCATGTCGAAAAGACACAGGAGCTAACTGGAAGGGACTCCCACTGGCCCAATCTGGGACAATCTGAGTATCGAAAAGAATAATAATAATGGATTGACAAACTGAATTACAAAAGAATTCCATGAGCCACAGTGATACTCAAAGAAAGGGTTGGAGGAGAGAAAGTGCTTCTTTACAGAAAAATGACAGCTAATAAAATGTATAAGGGATAACAGAACTGGATCACCATTTTAAAGCACGAAGCAGTGACTGATTTGGGCAAAGAACATAAATGGATGCCAAAGCCACAGATAAAGAGTTTGTGGGGGGTGTTCAGGAGGCAGCTGATCGATGTTTCTCTCTCCTCGATGTTTCAACTCTCTATCTCTCTCCCTTCCTCTCTGTAAAAAATCAATAAAAATATAAACAAACAAACAAACAAACAAATATGGCAGATTAGCTCTAGCCGTTTTGGCTCAGTGGACAGAGAGCCAGCCTGCAGACTGAAGGGTCCTGGGTTCAATTCCGGACAAGGGCACAAGCCCATGTTTCTGGTTCAATCCGCAGTAGGGAGTGTGCAGGAGGCATCCAATCAATGATTCTCTCTCATCATTGATGTTTCTGTATCTCTCTCCCTCTCCCTTCCTCTCTCAAATCAATGAAAACATATTTTTTAAGAATCGCAGATTACATCATTCACCAAGTGACTGAAATAATAACTCAGACAGTGATGAAATCGCTGGCACCTGGCCCAGAGGTGGCTGGAGGCATTCACCAGGGTCACTTTCTGGAACACAACCAGTTCAATTGGTGTTAACACTGCCCATGTCTGACTAGCACAACACTTCTTATAGCACTTCCACAGAATAAGGAAACTACCAGAAACACCATCCAGACTGTGAGACATACTACATCACAACTGCCTGAAGCTGTTGGAAAGAGAGGTAGCAAAATGTCAACAGTATTGAGGAAAAATAGGTGTTGGGATGATAGATAATGCTTATATTTTTCTTTATAAGTTTCTACATTTCTAAATGAGCATGTATCACCTTTGTGATATGAAAAACGGATGAAAACAAACTTGACCTTAAAAAAAGAGAGAAAGTGAGCCTGCAGTGTTTTCCAAACCTGTCTGATTACACAATCACCAGACACAAAAATAACCCCCACATTCCAGGTCCTCCCCCAAGACCTTCAACATCACAATGTCCAGGAGCGGGGTCTGGCGAGCAGTATTTTTAACAAATGCCTCAGATGAGCCTCATGATGAGACAAGCTCAGGAAACAACGCTAAGCAACAGAGAAGAAAAACCAAAGGGCTACACGCCGGCCCTCGCTCCCCGACTTGTCCTTATTCTAATCCCTCCATCAGTAGGTGCTCGGTCCTTCTCTGAGCAACAGTCTATTTATAATTTGGCTTCTCACACAGCCTCCCTACAGGGAGGAAATATAATATACCAATCTAAGGAGAAGGCAGATCTAGCATTCCTAACAGCTGTATTTCTCAGTGTAAGTTAATAAATCAGTAGCATGGACTGATTAGTCTCTCTGAGGCTGATAATGTAAGTCTTCTTCTAGGAAAAGGCTCCATCCCAAGGTGCTAACCCAGCCAGAATCCCCTAGCTCACCTTTCTGCATTCCCTGGGCCAAAAAGTTGACACTAGAGCCATGGTATACTGTCAAGCCCCTATTCTCAGACCTGGAAATAAAGGGGCCTCAGCACAAAACTGAAAGGTTCACTGGATATGCAGCTAGCCCTTTCAGGTAAGGTTTGGACAAACTAGTAAGGAAAACTGACCTCTTTCTTGTCTCAGATACTCAACTTTGGAATTGGGCCAGAAGGCTCTCAGTCCAAATGCGAAATGCATGGATATGGGGAGGGTGGGTTGTAGAGGGGAAACATTTTTACAAAAAGCAAAATTACTTTCTTAGCAAAAAAGTTATTTTATCAAATTATATACTCTTTTGTTTTAATTTTTTACATGGTGACAACATGCAGTCTTTTTTCCTGCAATGTAACTATTCCTATGGAAAAGAGTGGGGGGAAAAACACAAAGAATTATGAGTACTTAAATATTTTTCCAGTAACCACTTGCAACAGTTTTAAGATTTAAAATTGAGTTGAAAAAAATGTCAAATCCCCTGGACAGCATGGCTTAATGGTTAAGCATTGACCTATGAACCAGGAGGTCCTGGTTGATTCCCAGTTGGGGCACATGCCTGGGTTGCAGGCTCCATACTCAGTGTGGGGTGTACAGTAAGCAGCCAAACAATGATTCTTTCTCATCATTGATGTTCCTCTCTCTCTCCCTCTCCCTTCCTCTCTGAAATAAATAAAAATATATATATTTAAAAATGTTAAATCACTCCTTCATATTCTGATGGGGACCCTGCCATATGGCACCAGAATTGTCATTTTAAGATATGTGAAAGTTTCCCATCCCTATCACACAGGGGAGTTTGAGGGAGGACCTCTTTCAGGCAAATCATTCTTTACAATGTAGAAAGAACAAGATATTTTAACCTGAAAATCCAGAGTCCTTGTCTGACTCGGCCGCTGCCATGCCGAGTTGCCGGGCCACTTTTTTCATCTCTGTGCCTTTGCCTAGTTTGGCCGAGAGTCTTCTGGGGCTCTCTCTGGACGGGTTTTTCCTCTCCATGTTTTACTGGGCTGGAAGAGGGTTCACCAGTACTCTTTTCATCTGGGCTGCCCTGTGAAAACAATTGCATAAGAAGTCACTCACAGACAGCTGAAACAGGTGACTGAAATGGTGAGTAAAGAAAGGGCAAAGAACACTGGCCTCACCCACTTCCTCTGCATTTTCTCAGAGGTCTCAACCGAAAGGGCTTCCAGTTTACTGACAGGTAGAAGGGCTTCCACCCAGAAGAGGCCCACTGTCCTCTCCCTGCCCTCTCCATCTATTACAAATTCAAGGCACACACACCACAGTCAGTGGAGGCTTTGAAACGGCTAACAAAGGCACACTTGATTAGGTTGCTGGACTGGGTAACGCACCCTGCTCCCTGAGGGAGGAGAGCAGGGGGAATGCCCATCTGGGACAGGCTTGCTTTCCCCAGTTACTGCCACTCCCGACTTACTGCCACCTCCCCTAGTGTGCTTCTCAAATGAACCTTTCACTTCTTTGGGTGTTTTACTGAACAGAGGGAGAACAACTCCATTTATATGCATGCTACTTTTTGGTTTAAAAAGCACTTTTATGCACAAATAAGATCTTATGGAATAGTGCTTTGCTTCTATAAAAGTCTACAACATTATTGCTGTTAATTTTATCTCACTTGACTCTCATGTCCCCCACTCTTGCTATCCCATTTTACAGAAGAGGAAGTCGAGGTTCAGTTAAGTTACATTCAGTCCTTTAAAAATCTTTATCAAGTGCCCATTATGAAGCAGGAATCATGCTAGGACTGGGGATACAGGGTGAATGAGACATAGTCTACCTCCCTGAAGCTTACATTCTAGAGGGAGATAAACATTAATCGAGTAAGCAAACAATTACTGTTTTGGTAACAGCTATAAAGGGGAGGGGCTAAGAGTCTGGGGGGACGGGGAAGGGAAGACTTTCCCGAGGAAGTGACATGTAGCTGGGTCTGGAGGGAGAGACAAAAGTTGGGGAGTTAAGTGGGGAAGGGAGCGGGTGGGTGTGGAAGTCTGAAAGCCCTAAGGGAGAAGGGAGCCTGACACACTCACAGAGCTGGAAGGCCCAGGAGGCCAGGGCTCAGTGCAGGGGGCAGAAGGCCATGTGACATGAGAAGGGTTCATGTGGGCCAGACAGGCAGTGCCTTGTGAGCAATGTTGTAAAGACTTTGGGCATTAAGAGCAAAGAGAAGTCACAGCGGGATTTTAACCAGAAAAGTGACAAGATCAGATCTGCATTTTAAAAGCATCTGGATGCTGGAAACTAAATGTAGGGAGAGGCCAGAGGGGCACTGAGACCATCCATATACTATTATGTAGTCCCAATGACTTAAGGTGGTGGCGGTGGACAGGAGAGAAGTGAACAGATTGGAGACATTTATTTAGAAGGCTGCCTTGATGGTGCTTGGTGATTGTATGTTGGAGGAAAGATGGTGGAGCCCAGAAGATATATGGTGGGGTGGCTAGGCAGGTTCAATCTAGGCCATGAGAGACTGTGGGTCATCCCAGTGGAGATGCTTGGTAAGCTGCCACATGTCCATGCTGAGAGCCCAGGAAGAAGCCTAGATTTGCCTCAGTGATAGCTAGTCTGCTGCAGATCCATAGCTAAGCCAACAGTGCAAAGAATTAGATGAATGTGCCCTTCAAAGGGCTGGGAGAAGCTGAAAGCATTTCAGATATTCTAACAAGGCCATCTGAGGCAAAGAGGAATGGCAGCAAGATAAGAACACAAGGGCTATCACAGGGCTCAAGACAACAGGAGGCCAACAAGGAAAATGACAATAATAAAACCCCCTAATGCTTATCTCAATGTCTGTGTTCCCCTCAGATCCATATGTTGAAATCCTAACCCCCAAAACTGATGGCATCAGGAAGCGAGCCCTTTGGAAGGTGCTTAAATCATGAGGGTGGAGCCCTCATCAGTAGGATCAGTGCCTCGTAAAAGAGGCTCCAGACAGCTTAGTCCCTTCCACCATGTAAGCACCCTGATGTCAGACTTCCAGCCTCTGGAATCACTAGCAATAAATTCCTGTTGTTTGCAAGCAACCCAGGCTGAGATATTTTGTTGACTAGGACAGTAGGTGTAAACAAAGCCTGGCAGCACTGTAATTCACAGTCCACTCGCAGCTCCATCCACTTGTCCTGAGTGCAGAGAAACACAGCCCTCGCCAAACAGCACTGCATCTGGAACACTCTGAAAGGCCAGCGCTGAACTTTTCTGCCCATCAGGATCTCGTGGAGAACATCAATTACTCCAGAAGCAGAGGAGGGATTCAAAATGAAGTAAAATTAAAGTACAGATTACTTTGTACCATACAAACTGAGTCCATTTAAAGGAACTGGTCTCCCCATGTCAAACTAAGCACCCCTTCACAGGTCACAGGGTTAGCCCTCAGTGCACAGAAGATAAACAATGGCACTGTCACATCTTGTACAGCACTGTGCAAAGACAACATCTCTCTATTGGACGGCCAGGAAGTTCGACAGTGCAGCCTAAAAAAATAAGACTAAACTGTGTAAGTATATCTCTAATTAAATCAGAATCCTTTGGTATGAAAATCAAGAAATGTGCATGGAAAGGGAATAGGAGGTTTCTTCAAAATGGAAGTAGATGTCGCTTATAGGTGAACAATCAGATGTATATCATTCAAGTCTGACCCTACAGTTGACTTAGATTAGGAAAGCAGCTCATGTTAGTTGCAGCTGAGTAAGAACTTGACAAAAGTTTCAAATTATCTTATGAAATACTGATTATTTCACGGGTATTTTAGATAAGGCATCCCAATTTAGCCTTCTACAACCCTTGTGATAGAAGGAGAAAGGTCTTGCTGTTGTTATTAAAATGTATTCAATGGAGCTCCAAAAAGATACACAGGAATTTATTCTGGCCAGTTGAGAACATGCAGGACAACATTGAGTGTGAAATAAAAAAAACCTGAAACACTGGCAAATTGGTTAAAAGGAGAACAGATGCCAAAATTTTAGATCCTGGGGAACTGGCGGCAGTCGGAGGTAAAAAGCACTTTAGAATAGTAAATGAACTAGGTTGGATGTGAAAGTGACTAAAAGTGTGAAAGCCTCTGTCCTAAGTTCTGCTCATGCAGCAGGAAGCCTGAGTGCCCAGGGACGTTAAAAAAAACACGCAGAATGAAGGACTACATCCAACTGTGTCCTCTGCTCTGAGGGGAGAGGCACTGAGGCCCCTCTGCACAGCACCAACGAGGCTCTCTCCACCAGAGAGAAGCAGGCGGACGGCACTGACTACGGCTGCTCTCAAACCCAGGGACACACACATGGCAAAGTCTGAAAATCTCAAGATTTTCTTCTTCCTCGGCATTATTTTACTCATAAACTGGCAAGGGGTTGAAAATGGGTTACGGGGACTCTTTCCCCCTCCCCATGTAGGAGTCTGTGCTGTGAGATTCTTTCTCCTTCCCCACGTGGGAATCTGTACTTGTTCTTTAGTGAATTTCCACCTTTGCTATAAAAAAAAAGGAGGGGGGAGAAAATGGGTTCCCATGCTCTTACCCACTGTGCCATCTCTGCTTCCTGGCACAGACTGGAAGCTACTACCACCACCCACAAACATCTCAGATGCTCATGAGCCTGCCTGCACTAATAGGACTCCCAATGAAGCTTCCCAAGCTGTCAGAATCGATCCTGACTGGGCCTCTTAATAAGTAACAGGTAACACAGTGTCCAAAGGTTCCCGGAGAGAACAGTAAGTACTAAAACTTATCATGGAAAGTGAACGTAAACACAGGCTTATATAAACAGGCATAAGATAAAATTCTAACAAGTGCCTCACTTGGCTCTTACTTCCATTTTTGCACTTCTAACATTAGACTAATTATTTGTCTCTTCAACCTCAACAGTTTTTTTTTATCTTTGCAACCTCAGCTCCCAACAATATGTGTGAGATACTCAACAGAATAATAAATGCCTACAAATCCCCTCTCCTGCTGAGCTTGCTGACAGCCCTAGCAGCTTAGCTGTCACTGAAATACCTGAACAGCTTGAAGGTCAAGAGTCGGCATTTCCATACACCATGGTTATCTCAAGACCGAACTTCCAGCTCTGGTTTCCTGCAGGAAGATCTTTCATCTACCCCTTATTCTAAGATGAAAACTCAGGGATAAACCCATCAACCAAATTAAAGGTTTGTCTAATCCAAAAACAATCTCTATGATGATTTAGGCTTATGAATAAAAAAATAAAAGAATAAAAAAGACACCCCAGGTTTACAAGGAAAAGGATCTGAAATGTTGCTCTGAGACCATTCCTTTTATAGATACTTGGCAACTTTCCCCAGGGCTCAAGTTTCCTTTAAAATGTGTCACGTGTCTAACACCCCTGCATGGACTTAAACACAATCCAGTAAGAAGGCCACAAAAAATTAAGGCCTGGAAGTCCAGAAAACCATGAGTAATCCCAGTTTGAATTATGAACGCATTACCAAAGTCATTTTCTCTTGGCCTGCATAATTGGAGATACCATACTTGGGGAAATGTCTGTGTATTTTAACAGGGAACAACCCGTTTACCTCCCGGTTATACCTAAATCTCTTAACATTCATCTTTCCCTTCACATCTGTTTTTATTCTTCAACGTGGCTGCAAAGATCCCAAACCCCAATCCCATACAATGTCCTGTTTGGCACCTGGTAGGGCTCACTCCATTCTCTTTTCCAAAGAGCATATGATCAGAGAACTTCCCTCAAGCTCCCTGCTTCCAGCAGCAGTACCCACTCCCCATTCGCGCCAGCCCACGCGCATCTGTGCCAGACAGCAGGCCTACCCTCCAGGCACCCGAGCCTGCCAGCTCAGCAGGGCAGAACTGGGCAGACCCTAGGCCTGTGCTGTGACTGGCATACCACCAGCCGCCCAGGGCAAACGCCCAGGTCATGCAACCTGCCAGGACTTGGGCAATAGCAGGGAGCCTGATTTCGGCCTGGATCAGAGCTTCCCCCCACCAACTCACCCAGTTTAACTCCATGGCACTTCTT